TGTGCCGACATGAAGCCTCGGTGGGGCTCCCTGTGGGGCCAGGGCCACGATCCTCGAGAGGGGTGTGCCGAAATGAGGGTTCGGTGGGGCTCCCTGTGGGGCCAGAGCCACGATCCTCGAGAGGTGTGTGCCGACATGAAGCCTCGGTGGGGCTCCCTGTGGGGCCAGGGCCACGATCCTCGAGAGGGGTGTGCCGAAATGAGGGCTCGGTGGGGTTCCCTGTGGGGCCAGGGCCACGATCCTCGAGAGGTGTGTGCCGAAATGAAGCCTCGGTGGGGCTCCCTGTGGGGCCAGGGCCACGATCCTCGAGAGGGGTGTGCCGAAATGAAGCCTCGGTGGGGCTCTCTGTGGGGGGCCCCCCCCCCCCACCAGGGCCACGATCCTCGAGAGGGGTGTGCCGAAATGAAGCCTCGGTGGGGCTCCCTGTGGGGCCAGGGCGTCGATCCTCGAGAGGGGTGTGCCGAAATGAAGCCTCGGTCGGGCTCCCTGTGGGGCCAGGGCGACGATCCTGAAGAGGGGTGGGCCCGAATGAAGCCTCGGTGGCGACGCCACCACCGACGACGACTACTACTATTACAAGTACTACTATAACGATTACTATTACCAATGTTACGACAACTTCTATTATATTACTGGTGATACGAATCCTCATATTATTAGTAGTGCTACCACTATCAATACCACAAACAATACTACTGCTACTACTGCAACTATCACTACTACTACTACTACTACTACTACTACTACCACTACTATTAGAACTACTACTACTACTACTACTACTACTACTACTACTACTACTACTACTACTACTAGTACTACTACCACCACTACTACTACTTCAACCTCTGCTGCTACTACTACTACTACGGCTACTACTACTACTGCTACTACTACTAATACATACATACCTACTACTACTACTACTACTACTGCTACTACTCCCACTACTACTCCGACGACGACTACTACTACTACTACTTCTACTACTCCTACTACTCCTACTACTACTCCTACTACTACTACTACTACTACTATTACTAATACTACTACTCGTACTACTAACTTACACTACACTACTACTACTACTACTACTACTACTACTCCACTACCACTACCACTAGCCACTACCACTAAACCACTACCACTACCACTTACCCACTACACTCCACTACACTCACACTACCACCTACCAACTCACTATCCACTGACACTAACCACTACTCTCTAACCACTACCACTAACCACTACCACTACCACTACCACTCAGAAAGACCACTACTACTACGACTACTACGACTACTACGACTACTACGACGACTACGACGACTACTACTACTACTACTACGACTACTACTACTACTACTACTACTACTACTACTACTACTACTACTACTACTACTTCTACTACTACTACTACTACTACTACTACTACTACTACTACCACGACTACTACAACTACTACGACTACTACTACTACTACTACTACTACTACTATTTACTATTACTACCTTTACTACATCTACTACTTCTACTACTACTACTACTACTACTACTACTACTACAACTACTACTACTACTACTGCTACTACTACGACTACTACTACGAACTTCTCTACTACGACTACTACTACGCGCTTCTACTACTACTACTACTACTACTACTGACTACTACTACTATTTACTATTACTAGATCTACCACCAACTGCTACGTCTACTACTACTAAACTACATGACTACTACTCCTACTACTACTACTACTACTACTACTACGCTACTACTACTACTACTACTACTACTAACTACTACTATTAATACTACTACTACTACTCCTACTACTACTAAAACTACTACTGCTGCTACTACTACTACGACTACTACTACTACGACTCGTGTTACTACTGCAACGGTGGCTACGCTCGACTACGACTACGACTACTACGATACGACTACTACTAGACTGCTACTCGTACTACTACTACTACTACTACTACTACTACTACTACTACTACTACTACTACTACTACTACTACTACTACTACTACTACTACTACTACTACTACTACTACTACTACTACTACTACCTGTCCGCCCTAGGGTTCCCTATGGATTCCGTAGGGTTCCCTATGGATGCCCTAGGGTTCCCTATGGATTCCCTAGGGTTCCCTATGGATTCCCTAGGGTTCCCTATGGATTCCCTAGGTTTCCCTATGGATTCCCCAGGGTTCCCTATGGATTCCGTAGGGTTCCCTATGGATGCCCTAGGGTTCCCTATGGATTCCCTAGGGTTCCCTAGGGTTCCCTATGGATTCCCCAGGGTTCCCTATAGATTCCTTAGGATTCCCTATGGATTCCCTAGGGTTCCCTATGGTTGCTGGAGCCTCGCTGGTGCTCCCTCGCGTTTGCGTGGTCGACTCCAGGGCGGAGGTGGAATGGGCGGACTGGAGTCCGTATTCGTAGGTATTATGAAGCCGGAGGGGTTTCCCGTTTCCTGTTTCCCGTTTCCCGCCGCCCCCCCCCCCCCCCATGGGGCCTCCAGCTAAGGTCCGTACAAGAGGGTAGGGACAGCAAGGTAGAATGGGGCCTCCAGGTAACGTCCTTACCTTGTTGTTGTTGTTGTTGTTGTTGTTGTTGTTGTTGTTGTTGTTGTTGTTGTTGTCGTTGTGGTTGTTGTTGCTGTTGCTGTTGCTGTGTGTGCTGCTGTGCTGCTGTGCTGCTGTTGTTGTTGTTGTTGTTGTTGTTGTTGTTGTTGTTGTTGTTGTTGTTGTTGTTGTTGTTGTTGTTGTTGTTGTTGTTGTTGTTGTTGTTGTTGTTGTTGTTGTTGTTGTTGTTGTTGTTGTTGTTGTTGTTGTGCTGTTGTTGTTGTTGTTGTTGTTGTTGTTGTTGTTGTTGTTGTTGTTGTTGTTGTTGTTGTTGTTGTTGTTGTTGTTGTTGTTGTTGTTGTTGTTTGTTTTTTTTGTTTGTTTGTTTGTTTGTTTGTTTGGTTGTTTGCATTGTTCGGTTTTCGGCCATCCAGAACGGAAGAACAATCGGCAGGCCCAAACAGGGGAAAACGGCTGTACAGACGGGACCGAACCGTAAACGGCGCGATCGGAGCCCCAAACGGGAACAAAACGTCGATCTTGAAAATTGGGTGTGGGACAATAACAGCGTCTGGAACACCATCTAAGCCCTGGCCTCGTTTTCCTTTTTGTGGGCCTCCTGGGAGGCCCTCGTCTTCGCGGCTGAATTCGCTTCGAAATTTTGGTCAGAACACACCCCAGGAAACGGGTGGGGAGTAGCGGTGTCCGCACTTGTTTGTTCCCCCCCACGATCGTTCTTTCCCGAGGTTTGGGCGCTGCCTCTCACTTCGTGCCGTGCGTGTTTTTACGCAAGGTTGGGCCCTGGGTGCGCACTTTTGACTCAAGATTGTCGGCGCTTTCCTAGTCCGACGGGCCCGTGGGTTCGTTCATCCCAGCATTTTGATCCGCCAGTCTCGTCCGGTGTGGCTGGCTCTCGGCCGCTGTTCTTGCACGGCCTCTCCCTCAATCTCCACTTGTTCTTGCCCGAGGCGGTGCCTGGGTGTGCTCTTTACACTCTCCGACGCCAGCCTGTCAAAGTTCCTCGTGCTCCCTGACGAGGACTGCCACTGCCAGTATTCCAGGTCCTGTCTCAGTACTCCCATCGCCGAGTCGCGGGGTTTCAGTGGGCTTCAGTATCATTGCAAGGTCTTTCAGTAACGGCCTTTTCTTTCTGCGTGGGCTCCGCGTGGTTGCACTGCTCCGCTACGCCCGTGAAGGATTACGTGATCTGACCAGCCTCCTATTGTTGGCTTCGGTGCGCCTCGCAGACGGATCGGGTCTGATAGATGGAGTAGAACAGTGGGGTCTGGGACTCCAGTGGTGTTTTTTTTCGCCGCGTCGGGTCTCGGGTTTCGTCGTGGGACGGCGTCGTGGGCTTGGCCTCTTCTGGGCTGCGGCCCCATATGCGCGGGCGTATTTCCTCGCGGGTGCCCCGCGCGGCGCGTGTCTATTTGACTGCGTATCCACGGATGGCGCCGCGGGATCTTAACCGATCTCCATCCCCACTGGGCCATGATATCTCAGTCCCGCCCTCCCACCACCCCAGCTGGGGATTGGCCTTTCGAAACCCGAAGGGGGGGCCTATGTCCCCATCTCGGGGGTTAAATCGGCCAGTGGGCATCGGCCAGTGGGGCCAAGGCCACGCCAGCGGGGATTGGGATTGGTTGAACGATGCTCATGTATGCTTACTGCTCCTGACCTCTGGTCCGTCTCGTGCCTCTCGTTCTCCTCGCCCTCGTCGTTTTGGGAGGACCGAGATCGTGACGGAAAGAGGGGCGACAAGGATCGGCGACGTTGCCTGTCCATTTTGAGCAGTACTCGCTGTCGGTGTCGCCGCGGGTGCTGTCCATGGGGGACGAACGTTGCCTGCACACCAGCGGCCGTTGTCGGTCTCGGGCAACGCTCGTTGTCGGGCATCTCCCCAATGTTATTTACATGCCCCCATTTCGGCCGTGCCAAGCGTTCATCTCGTCCCTCCCGCCCCTCTGTGTTCCCCCCCCCCCTTCAGGGATCAAATGTGAGGCTGGTTTGGGCGGGGAAGCACGAGGAGAGAAACGTGGCACGGGTTGCCTGGGAGAGGGGGGGCTGACGGGCGGGGTGGGCGGGTAGGTAAGTAGGTAGGTAGGTAGGTAGGTAGGTAGGTAGGTAGGCAGACAGGTAGACAGGTAGGTAGGTAGGAAGGCAGCAGACAATGCTGGAAAAGATTGTCTGATCACACTGGTCGTTGTTGTTGCCATGATTTTTGCTCTACTGTATGCCGCCGCCTCCACATTGCTGTTCGCTGGTCACGGTGCTGTCGCTGCTGCCCGTGCTGACGGTGGCCCCGTTGCCGCCACGATGGCCGCCGCCACTACCTCCGTCCTTGTTGACGTCTTGGGCACAGCTGCTGCCGCGACCCTTGCCGAGCTCGCGCTGCCACTGCTCCGTCACTTCCGTTAGGTGGCCCATGCCGGTGCCGCTGCGGGCGCCAGTCCCGTGGAGATGCCTCCGCCGTCACAGCAGCTGCGGCGGAGGCCGCCCGAGCGGGGCGGGCCTGCGGAGGGGCGCCGCTGCCGCGATGCTAGGCCGTCGGTGCGCATGTCCGGGTCCGCGTGCTGAGCCCGAGTCACTCAGCTGGCGTTTCCGAGGGCGGCGTCTTCGAGCAGGCCTCCGCGCACTGCGGGGCCTCGTCCGGCGATTCATACTTCATTTGTGCGGTCTCGGCTTCTAATGGCCTGGGGTCGGGCCCTGGGGTCAGCATCGACGGATCCGAGACGAAGAGCCACCCCGGGGCCCCGCTTGCGTTCTGGGCCGTGTTCGCAGCATTCACATCACCGCTGCTCCGCGGTGCCACCATGGCGCGGCCGTTTTTTGTTGTTGTTGTTGTTGTTGAACATTATTACTTCTAAAGAATAATTATTGTTGGGACCCCTGGTGCACGCCCCCCCCCCCCCGCGCCTAGGCCGCAGCCACATTTTCATCATTTTCGTGAGGAAGTCTCAGGTAAAACGATGTCATCCAGATCCGGTTGTTTTGTTGACGCCCGCTTTCCTTGTCAAAAAACACTATAAAATGACATGTCTTGTTCTAACATAACCAAATTTCAAGAATCCTTTGCAAAAAATGACACGAAGTGCACACTCGCGCGCGCAAGATGAAATCCTTCCAAAACCTTAGTTTTCGTAGCGACTTTAACATAAAAGCATGAAAAACCCAATGGTTTTTCAAAAAAAAAGTTTCAAGAATTCATCCCGCGCGCTCTTGCGGATTTCTGAGGACACGCAATATTTTTTCAACATTTCTGTCAAACGGGCTCTTGCGAGCAACTTTTTCACGTGCTTCGAACTTCTGCAACAACGGTTGCGCGCATGGCAGGGCCATCATCCCTGTCAAATAATACCATATGGGACACATTCGTTTTTTCTTCGCGCGCGCACGCCGTCGTCGTCGGCCGCGGGGCCCTGAATAGTAGCCACGGTCGTCCGCATGCCACGAAGTGAAGTGTCCGAACGTCATAGGGCGGGAAGCTGGGTGTGGGTGGTGGCGAAGAGTCGTATGGAAATTTGGTAGAGCTTGAACCGGCCCCCCCACAAAGTGGGGGTATTGCCCGCCTCCTATGAAAACCCTGGCACTGGTGAGAACGGAGTGTCCCCAGTCTTAAATGATTGTTGTTGTTGAACATTATTAATTCTAAAGAATAATTATTGTTGGGACCCCTGGTGCACGGCCCCCCCGCCGCGCCTAGGCCGCAGCTACATTTTCATCATTTTTTCGCGAAAGCTTCAGAAAAGTGGATGGGGTCCAGATCCGGTTGTTTTGTTGTAATCCGTTTTCCCTTGCAAAAAACACTATAAAATGACATTTCTTGTTCTAATATAATCAAATTTCAAGAATCCCTTGCACAAAATAAGGTAAAGTGGACATTCGCGCGCGCAAGACGAAATCCTTCCAAAAGCTTAGTGTTCGGAACGATTTTAACATAAAAACATCAAAAAACCAATGGTTTTTCAACAAAAAAATGTCAAAATCTCATCCCGCGCGCTCTTGCGGATTCGTAGGAAACCCAACACTTTTTAAACATTTCTGTCAAACGGGCTTTTGCGAGCAACTTTTTCGAACTTCTGCGACAACGGTTGCGCACCTGCCAGGGCCATCATCCCTGTCAAATAATACCATGCGGGACACATTCGTTTTTTCTTCGCGCGCGCACGCCGAAATCTCCAAAAACCATTGGGTTCTTAAGAATTTTAGCACCGCTTAACAACTTCTGTGGGTTAACAAGGCTTAACAACTTCTGTGGGTGTACGAACGTCGGCTTAACAACTTCTGTGGGTGTGTACTCCACGCCAGTGTAGTAGCCACGGTCGTCCGCAGGCCACGAAGTGAAGTGTCCGAACGTCATAGGGCGGGAAGCTGGGTGTGGGTGGTGGCGAAGAGTCGTGTGGATATTTGGTAGAGCTTGCACTGCCCCCCCACAAAGTGGGGGTATTGGCTGGCGTCGCATGAAAACCCTGGCACTGGTGAGAACACTGAGCGTTCGGGTAAAGTGATTGTTGTTGTTGTTGTTGTTGCTGTTCCTTGTTTGGTGTTGTTTTTCAGTTTTTTTGTTCTCTCTCCGTTTCCCGTGCCTGCGTGAACGCTAGAGTGTTTGCAAGCGTTGTGGCAGAGCGTGGTTTTGACCAGGGGCATAGAGTGCTGACCAGGAGGTTCACCAGCCATGGTCAGTTCGAGAATGCACGATACGCCGCAGGAGACTTCCCGTCGGGTTCTCGCAGCCTCAACGCTTTCATCGCCCTCCGCAGCGTCTAGTTGGCGGACTAACCAACCCCTGGCAGGAGGGACCCTGGAAGGTCTAGGCTCAAGTTATCCCGGGCTCCCCCTCCAGGAATGACTGACACGTCTTGACCCGCCGTAGGGGATTCTGAGTGCCTGGGCGGCCCCCGCGACCTTGGGAGGGCCAGGCTGTTTCGTGCGGCACGGGGGCCATGGCGGGATGGGCCCACGTGCTCGCCAGAGGCGGGTCTATCTGTGGAGGACAGGGGATGGGGTGAGGAAGAAGCGTTTCGCGGAGAGAGACATATTGAACCCGCAGAGCGGGAGTCACGGCGAGCCCCCAGAGGGAAGCATGTACGTAGGTATTACAATCAGTGGGTGTTAGTTAGTGGTGCTGCCTCGACGAAGGTCGGTACCAATAGTGGCAATGCTTCTTGTGACCATGTTGGCTTCCCGTGGGCGGTCGGACTGCCTTTAGAGTGTCCATGGGGGAATTGCTTGTTTTCTTACGTGTCCCAGGACACATGACTCGTATTTGTATGTGTCCCAGTCGAGTGTGGGGCAGGACGTGCATGAGAGATGGCTAGAGTTGAACCCTTCGTGGCCTTCGAAGCGCAGGTCGTTAGTGTTTTCACGTGTCCCAGCAGTGTATGGGGCAGGAAATGCTTGAGTAGCGTACGGAATCGAGGCTTTCGTAGCCGTGGGGGCGCAGATCACTCGTATTTTTACCTGCCCCAGGAGCTTTCACGCACGCGGGCTTAGCCCTGGGAGTGATTTCACTCGTATTTTTATGCGCCCCAGGAGAATTCACAGCACATTGCCTCATCGAAACATTTTCGGACCAGCGGAATGCGCGAAGCCCTTCTTAGCATGTCTTGATGCTTCTTACTCTCCTCCATCCTCCTGCATCTCTTCATCTACCCTCGACGCCAAACACTGCGAATTCAATCGCTTTGCTCATTCTGCCGGCCCATGCTGTATGACATTTTGGGGCCTCTTGGGGGACTCTGGGCCTCTTGGGGCCTCTCGGAGGTGTCTTGGTGGCGGCTGGGGGTTTCTTGGGAGCCCCTTGGGGGCTTGCTGACGGTCTTGGGGCCCATCTTCGGGGGACAGGGTTCCAAATCGCAGTTCGCTTCCCCTCTTCGGGCCCTCTTGAGGGCCTCTGGAGCCCCCTTCGGGGGCCTCTTGGGTTGTATTGGGACCTCTTGGGCCATCTTGGGGTCCTCCTGGGAGCCTCTTGGGCTGCCCTGGGGTGATATGGGGGGCCTCCTGGGCTGTCTTGGGGGGTCGGAACCACCAGAAGGCGATAACGCGGATTTTTTCCAAACACAGCAAGTGCGAGTACCAAAAAGGCAGGTGGGACGAAGGAGGGGTGAGTTCCCTACGGGGCCACGATCCGTGTGAGGAGTGTCCCGAAACGAGAGGACGGCCGCCATGCCACTGGGACTTTCGGTGGAGATCCCTGTGGGGCCACGGGGTGTGAGGGGTGTGCCAAAATGGGCGCGGTCACGCATGCGATTCCTGCCGCTGGGGCCTTTCGTGGAGCTCCTTACGGGGAACTGTTTGAGGGGTGTGCCGAAACGAAGCGGCAACCGCCATGCGACTCTTGCCGTTGGGGACGGTGGAGCTCCTTACGGGGCCACGAACGGTGAGGGGTGTGCCGAAACGAAGCGGCGGCCGCCATGCGGCTCCTGCCACTGGGACCTCCGGATGAACTACCTCTGGGGCCACGAACCGTGCGGTGTGTGTGTGTGTGCCGAAACGAAGCGGCGGCTGCTATTCGACTCCTGCCACCAGGGCCTTCGGTGGAGTTCCTTATTGGGCCACGGACCGTGGGGTGTGCGGAAATGAACACGTGGATAGCAGCAGCAAGAGTAGCAGGAGAGAGGAGGGAGGAGGGAGGAGGGAGCAGTGATCGCGGGGCGCTACGGATTCAAACCAAGGACCCAGCACCACAGGATTGTCAGGAACGTTTGCTGCCCCTCGGGGCCTTGGGGGCTCTTTTGAGGCGTCTCGGAGGCGTCTCGGGCCATTCAGAGATTATCCTGGGCGTCGTCGAGCGCTCTCGGGCAGCCTTGGACCACTTGGGCTCTCTTGGAGGTTCCTTGGATCGCTCTGGGGGGCCCAGAGGGCCGCACCCAGGATCAAAACCATCGCTGGAGCGAGTCGGGCGTGGAGTGGGCATGGTACTTTTCGCCGGGGGACCCCCTGGGGCGGCCCCGCGCACGCGAACTAGAACTACTCTGAACGTGTTACCGGAGATGTCAGCACGTCGCTGGAACGTTGGGCCAGGGATTTTTTTGCGTGGCAATGCTGCCACGGCGGGGCCATGATGTTTGGCCAAGGCAAGTTCGGAGAAGCTGGAGGCTTTGCTGGTGTTGAGCTATCATCTGAGATTCTTGAGATTTGTTGCCGTGAGCGCCTTGTGTCAAATGTATGCGGATCACTGCATGGATTGGAATAGCAGTGTAGAAGGCAATGGATGACCATAAAGATTGGGAGGCGCTCGTCTTCACGATTCGCAAAAGCATCCCCAAAGTCTTACAACAGCGCCTCGTCGATGATTCGTGCAAGGGGATACTCGATTGGATACGTAGTGAGTCTTGGTCTGAAGCCTTGTGGGTTTTACGTGACCAGTCGGCTTCAATGATAATTTGTCGACGAGAGGTGCATCACGTGTTGTCAGGTTTGGAATCTCTTGGTGTGGAAGAGGTTACTCTTTCAGCTAGCCATGACAAGGAGGACTTCCAGAGTGACAGCTGAAGACAAAGTACAGAGCAGATGATGTGATGTACTGAGCAGCAGGTTGATCCCTCTTGCGAGATCTGTTGGCGTTGGGCTTCTGATTCCCGCAGTGTGTGCCAGCGAATGCTTGCCTCGTGGAGCAGATGAAGTCTTGCATTCTGCGCTTCCCTGAGTCATGCTTCCGAGAGTGTAGCGTGCAGTCATCCCAGGCCGCATTAAGAAACAAATGTTGAAACGTACGTTTCCTGCTGACTCCGGGTGGGCTATTTCATGGCGCTCTTGCACATGGGAACAACGATTGAGTGGGGGCCATCGATTTATCGCCGCTTCCAGGGCGATGTTCCCCTCCCCTGTGCCCCCACCACCCACCGAACCACCCCAACCCAACCCGAAGGCCTTAATTTGCCCTCCATTCCCGGTGGGGGAGCGTCGGGGAGCATCGGAAAAACACATGCGGAACCCGTACCCCCCCAACCCGAAATCGAGGTCTTCGGGTTGGGTTGGGGTGGTCTGGTAGGTAGCCGTGCCCGTCCCCCCCCCTCTCGTTGCCCTCTGGCGCTCTTTGCGCACGGCCGCTCTTCTGCGTGGCTGGCTCTGGGCCGCGGTGGCGTTCCTCGTCGGTCCGCCTCCCTCGGCCGGCGCCTGCAGGCTGGCCTGGCGGCCTGAGGCCCTGCTCCTCGATCCTCGCTCCTCGATCCTGCTCCTCGCTCCTCGATCCTGCTCCTCGATCCTCGCTCCTCGCTCCTCGATCCTGCCCCTCGCTCCTCGATCCTGCTCCTCGCTCATCGATCCTCGATCCTCGATCCTGCGCTCTCTTGCTCGATCCTCCTCGTCCTCGCTTGCGGAGCAGGCCGCCCGCGAGCGGCGCGCACGGCCGGCGGCATGCCGCCCTGGCCGCGCTCTCGGCGCCCGCCGTCGCCTGGGCGGGGAGGGGGGCGCGGCCCTCGGCTCCTGCAGCGGGTGCTCGCAGCAGGGGGTGGACGAGCAGAAAGAGACAGGGGGAGCCTCCCTCCTGATGGGTCCATTCTCCACCACCGCTGCCATGGGTAGGAGATGGAGGAGGAGGAGGAGGAGGAGGAGGAGGAGGAGAAGGAGGAGGAGGAGGAGGAGGAGGAGGAGGAGGAGGAGGAGTTTTTTTTTTTGTTTTTTTTTTTTTGTTTTTTCTCTCTCTCTCTCTCTCTATATATATATGTATCTCGCCTTCTCTTCGTCCCGCCTCCCCGCGGCTGCGCTCCCTCCACGGCCGCCCTCTCCTCTGACGCGGCAGGCCCTCCTCCGCCCCCCCGCGGAGGCCCCGCCGCGTTGCCTCTCCTCTCCGCCGCGGTCGCCCTCCACCTCCCCCCCGCCCCTCGCCCGCGCGCCGACCCTCGCGCGCGCGGGGCTTGCGCGCGCGCGGGGCTTGCGCGCGCTCTCCCTGGCGCCCCCGCCCCCCTCAGAACGGGCCCGGCCTGACGCCGCTCCTGCTCCTCGCTGCTCCTCGCCGCTCCTGCGTCTCCCCTGCCCTTTCTCGCACCGCGAGCTCGCGCTGCGCTGTCTTCAGTCCGAGTGCCCGGCGCCACGGCGCCACCGCTCCGCTCCTCAGTGCCGCCGCCAGCGCGCCAGGGCGCGGAAGCCCACTGTGGGACCGCGCCCCTGCGCGACGGGAGCGTCCGTCCGTCCGTTGCTGCTCCTGCTCCTCTCCTCTTCCCCCTCGTCCTGCTCCTCCACTCATGAAGACCCAGGGCCGCCCCCCCACCGACCCGCTGCCTCCTTTTATTGTCATCGTAGCTTTAAACCGGGCATGTCCCTCTACAGGAGGCATATTTTACTCCGACGGTAGGACCCCGCATGAGAATATGTTTAGCTAGCCTGGGCATCTCCTCCTGCCCCCTCTCTTCTCCCACCTACTCCTGTCTCCTCCTTTCCCTCCTGCCTCCTCCTCCTCCTCCTCCTCCTCCTGCCTCAACCCCTGCATCCTCCTCTTGCCTCCTCTACCTCCTCCTCCTCCTACTCGTTATGCCTCCTCCCCCCACTCCCCCTGCCTCTCCCTCCTTCTCTCCTACTCCTCCTCCTCCTCCTCCTCCTCCTCCTCCTCCTCCTCCTCCTCCTCCTCCTCCTCCTCTCTCCATCCTCCTCCTCTCCCTCTCCCTCCTCCGCCTCCTCCTCCTCCTCGTCTCCATCTTCCTCCCCCTCCTCGTCCGCCTGCCCCTCTTCACGACTCCTCCTTAGGCCTCCTGCCTCCTCCTGGGGACTCTTGGGGCCTCTTGGGGCCTCCTGGAACCTTCTGTGCCTCCCGGGACAGCTTGGGGCCTCCTAGGGCACTCCTTTTTCTCTGTGTCCCTCTCGTCCTTCTCGCCCTCTGCCTCCTCCTCCTTTTTTTTCGTCCTCATGCGGAACACACCGAGAGGAAGCGCACGACGTGCGTCCCAGCGGATACGCGCCGGAGGACGACCCAGAAGAAGCGCGCGCCAGAGGACGACTCGGAGGAAACTCTTCCTCGCAATTCACTCGCAGACGAGGCTCCCGCCTGATACTTCCTCCATATTCAGGCCTCAGGAGGCCAAAAGTGACGACAATTGCAGGATTCCGACGACCCGCCTCGGATTCAGAATTTGAGCTGCGGGCTCCACATAGAGGGATGCTCCCGCCTGAGACTTCCTCGCGCTTTGTTCACAGACGAGGCTCTCGCCTGGCTGCGGGCTCCATGGGAAGGGGGCTCCCGCCTGAGACTTCCTCGCGTTTCACTCACAGACGAGGCTGTCGCCTGATGTATCCTCCATATTCAGGCTTCAGGAGCCCAGAAAGGACGACGGTTGCAGGATTCCGATGGCCCGCGTGGGATTAAGAGCATGAGTTGCGGGCCCCATGGGGAGGGGGCGCCCGCCTGAGAGTTCCTCGCAATTCACTCGCAGATGAGGCTGTCGCTTGATAGTTTCTCCATATTCAGGCCTCGGGAACCCAAAAGTGAGGACATTTGCAAGATTCCGATGGCCCGCCTGGGATTAAAAACACGAAATGCAGGCCCCATCGGGAGGGGGCTCCTGCTTGAGACTTCCTCGCCATTCACTCACAGACGAGGCTTTCGCCTGATATTTCCTCAATATTCAGGCCTCAGGAGCTTCAAGGTGACGACAGTTTCACGATTCAGGTTGCCCGCTTCGGATTCAGATCACGAGTTGCTGGCTCCATCAGGGGGAGGTTCCCGCCCGATGCTTCCTCGCAGTTCACTCACAGACGAGGCTCTCGCCGGATACTTCTTCCGTATTCAGACTT